TGGGTGGCCCTCATCCCGCGGGGTAACTGCACCTACAAGGACAAGATCCGCCACGCCGCCGCCCAGAACGCCTCCGCCGTGGTCATCTACAACGTGGGTTCCAGCAACGCCAACGAGACCATCACCATGCCCCACGCAGGTGAGACCCGGCACCCTGCCCGCACATCGTAGGCGCACTCCAAAGTCTGCGCTGGTTGGGCGAATGGGCCCCGTTTTTCTGTGCGTGGCAGCCCCCTCTGCCATCCCACACCCTTGGGGTGGGAGCTGCTGGGCCAGAAGGTGTCTTCGGACCTCCTGGCAGGGAGCAGGGTGGGCTGCAGGCCTCGCCGGGCGGTGGGTGTCCATCCCGGGGCCCATGGAGCACTTCTCCGCGCTGCCATGGCAAAGGACAGATGTGCTGTTGGCAGCAATGCACAAAGTTTGAGAGATGCAAAGTTTGGGTCTAGTCAGAGGAATGGATGGGACCCTGAGCCCACTGCGGGGCATCGATGTTTTGGTGTGTCCTGAGGATCCTCTGGCGGGTGCTGTGTGGGTTTGGGTGCGATTGAGACTTCAGAAGAGGAGAAGCATAGTGTTTATGGTGCAGGCTTATCAGGAGGTGTAATAAAGTAGGGAACATAGTGTCCGCTGTTTTGCCTGTGATAGTGTAAAAGCTGTGGGATCGAGTAGGAATGCCAAGTATCCGATTTGGTGAGAACATGAGATATTTTGTCCAGGACTGGGCCTGGGTGGGGGTTCAGTCTCCCAGGTGAACTCTCTGATGGAGTTTGTGCTCGCAGTGTCAGCACATGGGTGCTTGGGTCCCAACATGTGCTCATCGACTAGAACCGAGCAGAAATCCAGTCATCAGAAACAACCCAATCCTCGGGTTATGCCCACAAAAAAACCACTGGTTTTGTAACAGTGTTTGATCTGAAATAGTGTTGTTTTAAAAACAGATCACCAGATTTATATTTAGGGGTGGTGTTTTCTGCCAGGGGTCGCTGGTCTTTTATACCAGCACCCTATGCCATGGAGACTAAAATGCCACCTATTGTGAAATCTCAGTTTGGTTTGCATCCAGTAACTAATCATGCCCAGCTGTTTCATGCCAGTTGAATCTTAGCAGAGTTAGGGGTAAATTGAAACACAGAAAGAAAGGCTGCAAAACAGGATGTGATTCTAATGACATTTTAAATTTCCACAGTAAACTACTTAGCATGGACGTCCTGAAAAACAATTTGTTGCCTAGCTATAATACTGCTGATGCAAAAGTAGCGCTTTTGGAACCTCTTGCGTGCAGCCTCTTTAAGAGATTAACCGTTTATTTGGGCAAATTCATGTTTCTTTGGTAGGATTGGTGGAAGATGGGTGGGTTTTAGTATTTTCCGTTGGTTTTGTGAGACAAGCAACTCATATCCTCTTGAGCTTCTTAAAACTGTGCTTTATCACCTGCACATGGTTTAGCAGCTGTTCAGATTATACTTCTTGGTACTTTAAGTATTACAGATTATATACCAAGCAGTATAAAGTAGTAGGAGCTTGGCATACTTAAGCACCCTTAAAGTAAAGCTCAGACTGTTTCAAAACTTAAGATGCATTGCTTGTTCTCGTCTAGTGAGGTTCTCTAAAACTGCCAACACGTTGGATCAATTAATGCTTTGCCTGTTTGTAAAGTATGCACTAAGCTGGTTTCCCACACAAATGGTGTTTTATTAAGAAACAGTGGGAGTAAAAAATGTGTCTAACCTTTTAAAATGTTAGAGCTTTTGTTTGTTTTAAAGTCTAAAATGAAGTAAGCAGGGGATCTTTCTTACTGTAAGTGGCCTCAGCTTTCAAAAATACAGGCACTGTATGACTTACCTTGGGGGCATTTACCTTCTTTTATGTTATATGACTCCTTACAGTTTATTCTGAGAATCCTTTTTGAGTACCGAATTGATACCCAGCAGCGCGATTGTGCACTACCAGAGGCTGAAATGAAAGGAAACTTGCAGAAAATAATCTGGACTTGTTGAACACGGTCAGTGAGACCGAAGAGCTTTGCTGATTGATTGTATGACGTTGTCTTCGTTTTAAGGATTTTTGTTCTGTGAAGTTGAAAAGCGGTTGTTGGTCTTACCTTAGGGAAAACCTGCCCTCTGCGTACAGTCAAAACTCGGAGGAGTTTTAGAGCCTAAGTCTGCTGGAACAGGAGGAACAATAATTAAACAAATATTTGACTAACTAGCAGGGATTCAGAACTGGATTTATCTCTACTTTTCCTCTTGTACCGCTGGTACGCTGGGACAAATTGAATGTACAAGCTGTGTAAAATTATCTTTGAGAGTTGCAGGCTTTGACGTTTGCTTGGTCTCAGTCTAAATGATAGCACAAGATTCAAGGGAAGAATGAATCACGTTCTTGCTTTCTGAGTTCAGCAGCATCTGCGGTGCTCTGCCCACGCCAAATCCTGGAGTGGGAAGAAGAAAATTCCATCCTGGAAAATACTTGGGGGGTGGGAGGGGAGGGTGAAATATGACCTAAAAAGCAATTTTAAAAGTTGAAAGAAGTATGTTGTTACTCTCTCCCTCCCTTTTTTTTTTTCTTTTCTCCCACAGATATTTTTTTTTGAGGTTTCATATAAGCTTAAATAAACTCTTTCTGTACAGAAAACAGTATATCCTGTTGCATAACAATGTGGCTCCTGCCCTTGCTAAACAACTATTACTCCTGAGAGAGGTTTTTCCTTATGTACATTCTTCTCTTCTGTATGCTTTACCTTCTTTCTTTTACTGTCATTTTATCTTTTTGTGTTTCTTTTTCAGGTCCTCTCACCCCCACTCTCATTTCATCTCCACCCCTGTGCTTCATTCCCCCTCCTGACCACATTACTGTGCGACTTCATAGCGCTTTGCCCTTGCTTTCTTCCCCAAGCTCTCTTTCTCCTGCCAAAGATGTTACCTCACAGCTGTATGTTTAATTATATTTCCTGTTTTCTGCTACGATGCGTGCCAACAACCCTTTGCTAACATGGTGCATCCTGATTTTAAAATCGAGGCAACTGTAGCAAGATAACATTCTTGAATTTGAAGGAGGGTTGGTCACCTCCCACCCCACCCCTAATCAAAACCAGGGTGGTATTATATTGAAACTTGTTGTGGAAATCCTCAAATACAGCTTTCCAGGGTTTGTTTATAGTGCACCAGACAGAGCAGACCAAGCGTTCGATTTGAACCAGTTCAGTCACTATATTGAAAGCCTTTGCGTTCAGGGGTCTTGTGCTTGGGTCACCGCTTGCACACCCAGAAGAGCGAGGTAAAGTCGTGACATCTGCGATCACGGGGAGCGCAGAGCTCTGTGGTTCTCGCGCTGGGATGCACTTAGCTTTGGCATCATCTGCTACAGCCTTTGCAAACTGGCATCTTTGTTTTCATTGGCTTGAAGTACGGTATAGGAGCTGTGAGTCCAACTTTGTTTGCTTTTTGACTAGGTAGGTTTTAACCACAGAAGGAACAAAAGCATCTAGAATTTCTGTTTCAGATGCTTTTTATTTCTCCCAAATCAGCTTTTCTAGTAGAAAAGTACTCTAATAATATAGAGGATGTTCTTTTTCCTCCAGAAAAATAATCCATGGTGTTGGCTAGGGTTTCTGATCGGCATTGTTTCTTTCAGAACAAATCAGCTGTTACTTAGGTTTGAAAAAGCTCTAGCCACTGTGTCTACATTTAATAACTTGGTATTAATTGGAAGTATTCTTACTACCTGTTGTGGCACGTGTCCTAACGCTTCCTCTGAGCTCTGAATAGGTACGGTAAGGGAGCATTCCAGAAGATGACTCAAGGTGAGAACTTCCCTCTCTCTAGCTTTTATTTGAGGGAATCTAGGTTGACCAGTTCTAACTTGGGCATCTGTCAAGTGCTTGGGAGGGATGTTAACTGCGACGGTACACGTGATTCATATGTGGGTAAAAATCAGATCTTTAGTATTCAATAGAGTTTGTAACATTCAGTTTGAATTCTGGGGTGCATCACAATATCTCACAGAATGAATATGATGATTGTGTGAAGTAAATTGCATCCTAAGTATTTTGCACCAGAAACATATGCGAGTCAGGCAGTTTTGCGTTCTCTGTATTCTGCTTTTCCAGTGCATGCCATCACAAATTTTAAGTCACATGCTGTGCGTATGACAGCCCGTTTGCGATCAGAGGCATCTGCCTCTGGTTTTGTAATGGCTTGTACACTGGCCGCAACTGTCAACCCTGTCTTTGAGACATGAATCTCATATGTGGTCTAAGATGACTCTGAGTTCTTCCTTCCCTCTTTAGCCCTCAAGTGCAGCGTGTGCGTGCCAGATTGCATGAGGAGAGCATGGCCATCCCACTGCAAAACCAAGTGTGTCCTTCCACACCTACTGTGAACGTGGCCGGCCTTGATCTGTGTGCATTCAGTGCAGCAACAGTTTCTTCCCTTGTACTCAGATTTTTGTTCCATGATCAATGAGTAGTCTTGCCTTTTACATATTTTAAGATGTGTTGGTAGTAGTTTTGGCTTTGGGCTCCCCTGTAGATTTCTGCTGATATGCAAGTTAAACACTGAAGTTGAAGATTTCTCTCTTTACAGACTTAATTCAGTACTGTAGCTACATTTGTTCCTTTACTAAAACAATTGTTTTCCTAAACTTTTGTTGAATTCTGATGAGGAAAACGTGCTGACAGCATTCACACTGAATTTTTGTATGGATAAGTGTGAATTAATCAAGGGCTGAAGATTTCAGGCTTCCAGGGCCTGCCATAATCATTTTCTGTGCCAGGCACCGAGGATTCACTCCTAATAGAAGCCAACTCAGTGGGGGAGGGAGATGGAGATTAGTGCATCTCTGAGCCTTATCCACCATGAAACTGCATCGTGGCTGGGTGTGCTGCCGTCCTTAGGAACTCAGAGGAGCTCCTGCATCCGTCACGTAGGCCTGGCTTCCAGTAGTTTTTGAAAATTTGGTTCTCGATATTTATCCAAATCAAGGGTTTATAATATTGGCTAGAGCCAGCCGTAGCGCCGCCAAGCTGTCCCACTGCCTTGGCTGGCAAACCACACTTCTGCCTGGTAGTTCTGCTGTGGTTCAGTGCTAGACTCCTCTACTGTGGATGCGTTCGGTTATGCCAAGTGGTGCGGGGACTCT